TTTTTTCATCACTCCTATTTTTTATGAATTTTGTACGTTTTTCTAATATATATTTTTTTTGTATACTACGTATTTTTAAATGTAGTAATGTTGGACAAATCCATTATAAAAGATTAAATCTTTTTTTATCCAAATACCATAAATCAAATTGTTCTTTAAAAAAAATATATATAATAATTTCATTGTAATGTCAAAGAAAAGATTTGTCTGTCTTTATTATTTCATTTTAATAATAATATATATTATATATCATGTATAACACACAGTGTCCAACTTGCTTTTCCCGGTAACTTGCCCGATGTTTCGATTGGGTCAATTTATTATGGTTTTGTTTTTGTTTTTATTTTTAYTTTTTTGTTTTGTTTTGTAATCATTATAATAATGTATATCCATATAATAAAAAAAAAAATTACAATATTATCTTTTGTTGTTTTTATTTCATTTTATCGCGCCGTTAAGTCAATCGATACGTAATATTATGTATAACATTTTCTATATTATTACTATATCAATAATATTGTCAACCACTGTTCCCGCAACAAACAGGAGCCTGCTGCAATAATTGTCACGTTCACTGGTATTGTGTGTGTAATAATCATCACATTTATAACGTCGTTGTATATATATTATACCGGTTTGGAGGTTTTTTCGTAATTATATACCTATAAAATTTATATTCAACGGGAACGCACAAAAAAATAACGATACAGATCGGTGAGTATAACCAATAAAAATTGGCCMATCGGCACGACTATAATCGATAATATATTCCGATTTGTCGTGTACCTAGGTATAAAGTAAATTGTGAATCATGCTGTAGGTTGTTTATGTGTAACGGTATGAAAGCATAAATCTCTGACTTATACCCTGCAGTGCTTGGAGTGAAAAGAAAAAGTATAAACAAAATGTGCGTATCTGGATATTTAAATGTGTCACATTGATTAGGAATTATGATATATGATTGGAAAGTGAATATTTTTATTAAGAAGAGATACCTCGTCCTACAATGTCCCCTTTCAATTCAACCACTACAAAAATGTAAATACTACGCAATCGTATTCTACTCCCAAATATTTATAATTGAACAACAAATTTAATATTCAATTATCATTTAACGGACCATTTCGTAAAATTGTAGTGTTCGCCCACCAATACACGTATAATGATATCA